TAGTAGTGAAAAGCTAATCTGATAAAATTATTAAAATATGCTTACATGTTATTTCACAGCAAATTTATTTCCAACAATAGTTGAATTTGCTGTGAAATAACAAAATCTAAGCATATTTTAATAATTTTATCAGATTAGCTTTTCACTACTATAAGTGGGGATTGAAATTAACATCATAGCAGTGAAAGTGACCATCGTTTCAAAATCTCTAAATCTTTCATTTTTTAAATAATTATTTATTTATTTTTATTATGAATTACATCCGTGGTACATTTTCGATGTACAATAATTTAAATAAGTAATCCTTACCATACCTGAGATTCTTCACTCTTCCAAAGAGGCTTGTTTGCTAAGACTAACCGTTTCTTTATGGCTTCCTATTCGGAAGATGTTTACTCGACAAGGGCGCCAATATTTCATGCTCATTTCAGCTACACTCGATGTCTTGCACGTGCAGCTTCCCGCGGCCTGTACTGCGAGGTTTTATCGTTATTTAACTCTACTGTCTGTTTGGTTCATTTCATCTAGGCTCGCGGCCACGCACTGTAATTCTAAGGTGGCGCGTGCTCAGTGTAAGATATTACGTGAAAAATGGTCAAAGTGGGACAATCACTAGTTGCCGAAACCATCAAACAGCCTTGTGGTTCTTGGTGATTGATAGTTATCACCTAGAATTGAAAAAAAACTGCATCAGAACATTTTGCTAATATGGAAGCATTGAATAAAAAACCTCTAAAAGATTCCTTTAGGTATGAACAAGTTATCATAACAATAAAGAAAAATCGTAGATGGATGAATTGAGTTTGGAATTGAATTTGTTACCTGAAAAAAATCATATTTTACTGTTAGACCTGTTTGAAAAAAAAAAAGGCATTTTGTAGTTTTCCTTTCACGCGTCACATACAAAATAAAAACATTATTGAAATATTTTATAGAGAAAAAAAAAGCTTGAAAATTATGAATTACACGTAAGTGAATGATAACTTTCACAAAGAACGACAACCATTTTTCATAACTTTATAAGAAAAATTGGTTTATAAAATGAACTGCTGCATACCATAATTTTTTTTAGAGAATAACTAAAAACTCACAATTATTTCCTTGTATATATATATTTTTAAACTCTGCTTAGGCTTATTGTTGTTGAACACAACATGCTTTTCTAAAGTTTAAAGCAGAATAATTTATGCAAAATATTTTTAATTTCTTTTTCTTTGTGCTTACTTATTGTCCTGTTCACCATTCTATTTATATAATAAAATATATTTCTGTTTGACAAATCCAAGCGTATAACAAAAAACACACAATCTTAAGGCGTTAGACATCCTTGAATCACAAGAATATGTTTTCAGAGGTATTATTTTGAGACTGTTTCTCAGTTTTCAGAAACTAAGCATTAGTTATAAAGAATGTCAGGTGTAAAGTGGGTACCGGAATATGAGGCAGCAGCCCATAAATAATGTTGCAGAAACTAGCAAATAACGTGTTAACAATCGGAGTAAAGTAGTTTGAATTTCAAACGACAATATATGGACACATGATTATTGAATTTTAAACGACATAACCATAATGTAAACAAAATCCGATCAGACAGCTTGAGGGGTTTTTCGGATAATTTTGGTGTAAACTAATTCCAAATTTACAGAAAATAAGTGGGTGTTTATGTAGCAGTGCTTGAAAAGGTAGCAGGGGAATCAATATATTCATTTATTTTAGAATTTGAGCACAAGGCCACACAAGATCTATCTGTACATAGCCGTTCTTAATTTTGAACTAGAAGACTGAAAAGTACCCATCGCCAACTCTTTGGCTACTCCTACCTTACGGAATAGTGGGATTTGACAGTCACTCTTATAGAACACCCACGGTTTCAAAATGCGAAACACGTTTTGCGGTGACTAAACACAAACCTTGGACCATCGGATTCACGGTCCTGACACGCTAATATTAGGCCACGTCTGTTCTTTTACTTTATGTATTCTACCGAAGTTTGTACGCAAAACAGGTTATGAATTATAAAATAACGTTCTTCATAACAAACCTGAAATACAGTACTTGGAACAAAACTCTAGAAATACTTATTTTATATCCCAGAAATCATTATGAAGTGCTTTGGTTTTGGTTTCTTTGCGATAATATAGTTAACGTCTGCACAAAGAAGGAGAAACATCGAAAGATGGTACTTTTCTAATACGCCATGATGTTTTTATCAGCTGCTGTACACATTTTATCCAAAGTTTTCTACCTAGTCGGGTTAACACATAATTTTGTTTTTTCTCAGATATAATCAAAACGTGAGTCATAGTACTTCAAGGTTGAATGAATAGAAGTTATGTAGATAGTGCCTATGTACGGAAAAAGATAATATGCAAAGATATTATCTTTGGGGTATTTTTATATTTCACCTCTTACCAGCCTGATATGCAGTAGAACGGCTACTTCCAGTAGTTAAGTCCAAATAGGTCCAATTTTCTCCTTGTGGAATAGAAAATAAAACATTTATGATTACCTTACTTCCAGTAGTTAAGTCCAAATAGGTCCAATTTTCTCCTTGTAGAATAGATAATAAAACATTTATGATTACCTTACTTCCAGTAGTTAAGTTCAAATAGGTCCAATTTTCTCTTTGTAGAATAGATAATAAAACATTTATGATTACCTTACTTCCAGTAGTTAAGTCCAAATAGGTCCAATTTTCTCCTTGTAGAATAGATAATAAAACATTTATGATTACCTTTACTTCCAGGAAGTAAGTTCAATAGGTCCAATTTTCTCCTTGTAGAATAGATAATAAAACATTTATGATTACTTTACTTCCAGTAGTTAAGTCCAAATAGGTCTAATTTTCTCCTTGTAGAATAGATAATAAAACATTTATGATTACTTTACTTCCAGTAGTTAAGTCCAAATAGGTCTAATTTTCTCCTTGTAGAATAGATAATAAAACATTTATGATTACCTTACTTAAGGTTACTTTGATTCACCTCCTGTCTCCCGAGGCTTTTTTTTTAAAGACTCCACTATTTCGGACTGAGTTTTACTTCTTCATCCCTACGTATTTTTTTTCTATATCTAGTTTTAATACCTTATTTCTTTCATGAAAAGGTTTTAACATAGAATCAGATCTTTTATTTTTACCACCTACTGCAAGATTTTGATTTAGGACATATTTTATACTTTCTCCCTACACCGTAAGGTGTTTTAATTTAGAACTAGTGTTTACTGCTTCCTTCGTGGCAACGTCTTAATTTAGATATGTTTTGTTTTACATGATTCTTACATAAAAATATTTTATTTTGAGGCCTCTTATACTTGATTATTTGTACATAGCTAGCTTATAATTTATAATCTATCGCATTTTCTTCTTCTTACATGAAACCAAACGAGGTCAAACATACAAATGAAATTAATATATTTCCAATTATAGACTCATCTGCTGATGCTAATATCAATATTTAAATTTATCCACAAATTAGGTACTAAATTTTAGTTTAAAAAGAAAATGTAGAAAGAGTTAGAACGTGTTATGAACATAATACTATTTCCAATACAATTCGGTAAGAATATATAGATTTTATAGTTAGGTTACTTTAATCATGATTAATGGATTAATTGGGTATTTTATTTGTTTTGCCAGTTGCCTCAATAAACATGCGGAAGCTCGAAAGTTTAGGAGTATTAGGTTAATTGTAAGTATCCAAATGATTATTCCAATCACCAAAATAATTCCTATAAGTAAGAATAAGTCAAATTCATTATTCAGAAATTGAAGCTTTATATTTTTTCAACACTTAACCAACTTAATTAAACTTCTTAAATAATGTAAGAACAATCACTAGCCCATTATTTTTACATGAAGTATATTAACACATGAAAACCGATAGTTTAATTAATGTTCATGTACTTGAAAGCACGCATAAAACATTCCTCTCCTAAACTCATTAAAGGAAACTTTTGTTTGTTTAGGGTTTGTTTTTGTTGTATGGAAGTCTAAAAACTAGAACTGAGCGACTTGACAAAAGACAACTAACCAACAGTACCCACCGCCAAATCTTGGGTTACCTTTATCAGAGGATATAGTGAGATTTGGCTGTTACTCTTATAAAGCATCAATGACATTAAAGCACGGTGCACATTTTCTATAGTAAAGGGATTTGAACCATGAATTCTCGGATTCACAGGTCTAGCACGCTTACCATTAGGTCACATCATAAATGGTCACTTCCCGCTTGTTTTATCAACATGAAGTATATGACTAGCATTGACTTATTTTTTAATGCCAGCTTACAATTTACCAGTCTTTATTGAGTTCAATCAACAATTTAGTACATCAACAAATATTAAAACGATTGTGAAAGAAAATAATTCAGTGTTCAACGTTTCGGTCAAAAGAACACCATAGAAAATTTTCATTCTATTTTCCGATTTTCTGCATTTGTTTCTTATTCGTATCAATAGTTTTGTGTAGTTTTTCCACCTTTATTCTGAAGACAATTGCTGCCGCTTTTTTTTTTTTCAAAGACTGTTTTTGCAGCAAGAGTTTCATGAAAGTTTAGACGAAAAGTTTATTTAATGAAGTCGCTTGATGAAAAAAAAAAAGATTTCCTAATTAGGCTTATCATGAGTATGTCACTATCGTTAAACCTAAACAAGTAGTTCAGTTCATTAGGCATTCTCACGCAACAAGTCTATTTTAAATAACATTAAAATATATTGTTTCTTCCGAGCTCTCTAAGTTTATGTATTTACTGATGTTATGAAAACTTTAATACAATTTTTATCTATATCGAATTCATTAAGGATTGTGTTGTTGTTTTTCATTCTTGAAACTGTGTTTAGGAAGAATATCTACATCTTTTATTTAGAATCTGCTTTTATAAACTTCTTGTTATTGACAGTTTGTTTAATGAACTGAAATGCCAACTAGTCACGTTTAGTAAGAACATTACCTGACTGTCGTGCCAAGCAGAAACATCCGTTATATTTGCATTGATGCGGTCGAACTTAGATGTATGATGTGGCTACTGTTTCGTTGACAAACCAGGTTAAAGACCTGGGTAAAGCTGTAATTGTCAAGAAGTGGGACATTTTGAGGAGTTACATCTGAAACAGATTTTGAATGTGTATTTATCTTTCGTTAAGGTATTATTTAGCTACATTGCTTGATGTAACCTCATAACTTGTGTGGCTCACATTGTTCAGGATAGACTTGGTCCCACGTATTGTATGGTTTTTATCGCATTGTTGAAATCGTAGTCACATATCTTGTACTGTCTGACTCTGCCATTATTTGGTGTAACATCATACTGTTTAAGCAACGCATCCGTCTTATGTGGTTACACGGTACTAGGTACGCTCAGTTATGTATCTTTCATGGTTATAGAAAGGATCAGTCACATATCTTGAATGATAATAAGGTACATGATCAGTCATGTGTATAT